AATTGGAGTCAAAGTCAGTCAAAAACAGTGAGTGTAATCAAGTCTAGAGGAACATTGTGTTCATTATGTGGTCTGTTCGGGAGCCATCACTCTCCTGTCTGTTCCCAAAAGCCCATTTTGCTTAATAAAGGTTTCAGTCGATCTCATCGAGTCTGACTCAGACATTTCAACCACTTCAACCAGTCAAATAGAAGAAAAACATCTTCCATTCACAAACACAGCTTGTGACTAATGAGTCACTGAGACTGATTTGTATATCTGTTGCAGAGACTCGTTGATAAGATTGGAAAGATCAGTTAGGGTAGGCGGAGCTACGTTTGGCCACCCCACCCACAACTGCTGCTTCTGTTTTCTTGACAAGAATTGCGTTTATTTAGACACAGATCATCTTTGCGACCACATCAAACATGAGACTTTTCAGACGTGCACTCCTTCACCTCAGCGCCAGGTGTTAGTCAAATGAGCACGGAAAAGATCCAGGTGATGAGGGGCTTCAGCAGAACAACAGTGAACTGCGGTCAGATGAGATGTTGTCAGGCCATATGTCAGTAAAAACGATTTTTCCTGTCCTGTCAGGCGGTATACTGTGCTCGTAGCACATGCTCTTCAACTGCATGCACAAATGCAGTGGCACACACTGTATATAATTTCATATTAAAGTGCAAAAGAAACTACGAGCATGCAGTGTCGTAATTATGTCGTCGGTTAAGTCATGAAGTTACCAAAAAGGCGATTAAAGCTGCCTTAAAACTGTGCATGCATGTAAGCATCTCAGCTCATTAGTAGAGACTTTAAGACCTGAAATGAATCAGAAAAGGTAAAGAGTTGTGAGAAAATAGGATGTGTGTCAGATCCGCGTCATGTTCAGCAGCAGCAGCTCCTGAAGTAGCCAAAATAACCTAATAATTTTTAGGTAGCTAAATATGACTTTTATTATAATGGGTTTATGTGAAGATTGTTTTAAGTTCACTTAAATTAGAAGTTGTTATTTTTTAAAGTCTAATAAATGTTAAAATTGATAGCTCTCAATGATACTGTAATGTTGAATGGCTATAGTCAATGGTTAAATATTAGGGGAAAAAAACAATTTCATAGAGACATCAGTAGTATTGATATCAGTGATACTGGCCTTCAGTCATAAAAAAGAGATGCCATTAAACAAATATAAAAGATATACTGTCTTTATGTTGTTTCTACGTTAATTTGAAGATTGAATGTGAAATTATTGCAATATAAAAGTATATTTAAAAACTTTAATGTTAGGTGGGATTAATAGCGATTAATTTCAGAAGAATGTGCGATTAATTCGTAAATGTTTTAATCGATTGACAGCACTTATATATTTGATGGCATATTTAATAGCCAACTTATAGCTAATACTGTACCAATGTGCCATGTTATGTAGTTTTTTATTAATAATAGTAATAATTAATATTCTTTTTACCTTAATGGCCATTTTTTATGTTTTTTTTTTGTATTATTTAACTGTATATTTTCTATCGTCGATTCTAAACGTTTTAATTGATCATTTATTTTACCTGGAAATTATGAATTATTTACACTTGTCTGTTGCTTTTTGATGTAATTTATGTCTAGAGATGCCCTTGATAAATTTACTTATCTTAATCCCTCAAGAACAATCTCTGACAAAAACAATAGTATTATGTAAAAAAAAAAAGTATATCGACCTTCTCATGTTTTAAAATACTTCTATTTTGTGCTTTCAGCTTGATGGATGACTTCAAAACAAACAAAGTGTTGTACATTCGTCCTAAAAACTTTTCAGTTAGTCCTTAAAACACTGCTTGACGGTATAAAAGGAAAGCAGAGCGCAGACTCTTAAAAACAAGCATTGATCGAATCGGTCTGTTCCTAAATCCAGGCTAAAGCAGCATGATGAGCGAGAGAGAGAGAGAAGTAGACGCCACAGTAAAACAGGGTCTTTCAGGAGCTTAAGGCACAGCGCGGCCCGTTTTACAGGCTTTAGGAAAATCCGCTGGGCAGCAGCTCTTCCCTAACTCTCCTGAACGAGCACAAAGTGTTCCCTCCTGCGCTACAGCCAAGCAAACCACTGGCAAATGACCTCCACGTCCACAAACACACTCAACTCAACGTGATTATCATGTCATTGTAATATTAAAGGAATAGTTCTTGAAAAAATGTTTATTCTGTAATCATTTCCCTGCATGCCTTTCTGAGCCCGGGACGCTCTTTTCCATATGAATGAGGAATGAGACTGTCAAGCGACAAAAAAAATCAAATTATTTTAAGAGTGGTCTATACCAATCATATGCTATATTTGGAATGTTTTCATAAAGTCATATGATAGCTTTGTGTGAGGAAAAGACCAATTTTGTCCTTACTCACTGAAAATCTTTCCTCCATGGTGTGGAGGCACCAAATTAAAAAGCTGTTCCTGGAAATATAAAAGGCAATTATAGCTGTACTCATAAGTTTACACACACCTTGTGAAATCAGCAAAATATTAACAATTTTAAATCATACATTTTAAAAAGCATAAAAATCATTTTAAAAATTACAAAAGAGGGATCATTAAAATTTTATTTTCTTTAAAATTACTTTTTAAAATACTGCCATAAAAAAGCCATGTCAGCTTTTGTATGTCCATTCATATTATTTTTAACTTGGTGGCAACATTAAAGGGGTCATATGATGTTGCTAAAAAGAACATCATTTTGTGTATTTGGTGTAATGCAATGTGTTTATGCGGTTTAAAGTTCAAAAAACACATTATTTTCCACATAATGTGCATTATTGTTTCTCCTCTATGCCCCGCCTTTCTGAAACGCGTCGATTTTTACAAAGCTCATCGGTAAAATTACATTAAAATTAAAATTATAAAAATTACAAAAGAGGGATCATAAAAATTGCATTTTGTTTGAAAAATAATACTGACATAAAAAGATTATTAAAAATTGTATTATTAAAAGATGCATTTACAGTAGATTTTTTTATTATTATAGATATTAAATATTATTATGTTCAAAATATAATTTAGCACAGACTTTCAGAAGCTAGATATTTACGTTTCCCAAAAGACAAAATAAGTACAGTTTACAGTGTTCAAGGTTTTTTTTTTTTTTTTTTTTTTCTTTGAATGCATTGTGTTTCCTGAATATTGTGTATTCCTGAATATTTTAGCTTTTTCAGGGCAGTAGTAAAAAAAAATGAAAAAAACTATTTTTTACATTACAACATTACAATTGTATTTCATTTTGCAAACATGCAAATAAAAAAAGACTGGTGCATATACAGTTGATAAATATAAGGGTGAGTAAATCAGAGGATTTATTTATTTATTGCCTGAACTATCCCTTTAATACAGTAAATACATCATTTATTATCAGCTTTAGTGTATGTTACATGTTGGTACAATTGCCAGTCGTGGATAAAGCAAACTGAGCTCTTGCTGCAGGCATGTTCCTTTCAACTCTATTCATGTAATACTCAAATACATGATTATGTACAATACTTCATCTGATGTGAGTGGACATAATAGAGGTCAGGCAAGTTTCCCTGATGATTTAAAGCTGATGCGTGTCATTCTTTAATGTTAAAACAGTTTCTACCTTCTACCATTACCTAAATGAAGTTTGTTTTTAATTTTAATTAATACAAAAATAACTAGGAAGTATATTTAATAATTATCATTATTATTAATGTTATTTATTATTCTAAAATTAATACATATTTGTTTATATAAAAAAACAAATAAAATGACAAACTTGTTTTATTAAAAAAATAACTAAAATTAAAATGAAAACTATTTATTTTTATATATTAAAAAAATATTTAAAATATTCATAAAAACTATAATAGTATCTCAATACTAAAATAACACTGGTGCAGATGCAATTGTAAGGAAGGCTGCTTTTTGTAGAGTACAAATGCTGTGGCGCTTTGTACATTTTAAGCTCATCTACAGTGGTGTGAAAAAGTGTTGGCCCCCTTTCTGATTTCTTATTTTTTTGCATGTTTGTCACACTTCAATGTTTCAGATCATCAAACAAATTTTTTATACACATTTGAAAGGTCTCTTCCAGGATAGTATACCTAAACAATTGATGCTACTTAGCTTCAAGGCTTTGAAAATGCCCCAACCTCCCATTTCAATCTGCACTTTTCATGGTGCTTTTAAAGAAACGCCCTGTGCTGGTCGTGTCAGGCGTCTTCTCCGTCTCCGACCATCCATGAAGGTGAATCTGTACCGGAGGAATCTAATTTCACTACACGGCCTCTGATCAGACAGAAATTGGCCACAGCCGCTGTGATCAGCGTGTGCTTCTGGCTCTGGTAGGAGCAGGTGTGTGTGAGAGATAACCATTGGCTTTAGTATTTCTATTAGTCCTGAGTCTCACCGATAGGAAAGTCACAGCAATATAACACCAATACAAGCGCTAACACAGAGACAGCGGCCCTTTACACGCACCTGAGATGCCAACAATTTCTCGGTTTCTTCCTGTACAGCATCATTCTGCTTTTCCTATGAGCCACAGGTGTGTTCTGAGGATCGCAAACAACAGGGAAAATCAATGTGAACTGAAAATAAAAAATGCAATAGTATAATCATATATAGTGAAGATAAATAGACTTAACATAATTTTGACTTTATAAAGCCTACTTTATCATATCTGATACCAAGGAACATTTATTTGTTCATCTGCCAATCATTGTTTTGCATTGCATTATGTTTTGAAAATAAAACTACGCATTTAAATATCATCTTACTAAGACATTATTGGAGATAAAGAGTGAACGAATGATATTTATATCATTTTATGGCTTTATAAGGCATAAAAGCCTGATGCATTAAATATACAAACAAAAACAAAAAAAACTGAATGAAATCATGAAAAATGAAGTATTATGTTGCAACACTTGGATGTGAACACAAATGCATGTGTGCATTTAATACCTGTTTTAGATATCCAGAATGAGGGATGGTTAGCTGACAGTGTGAAAGCAGACATGGAGCAGGCCGGCACTGAAGATGATGATCTGGACTGTGACGTCACGTATGGAGAAGTGGAGCAGAGACTAGACCAACTGCAGGAACACCTGAGCAGGTAAAACCCAGATCAGGCTTCATTAGGAAACAGCTCTGGATGAGCCATACTGCACTGAAAAGGATTCTAAACACAGACTTGTGATTGCACGTTCTATATTAATGCTTATGCTGCTATGGTTGATTTTCTTAAAAATGGGAAGTGAATGGATGGAAAAGTGGCCATTGCATACCAGGATTGAGCCAGATCAATGACAAGGAACAGGAACAGGAATTTGTGGCATCAGCTGAAAAAGAAAGTGTCATAGGTGGAGCATCACTTAAATTAATTTAGAATTTTGACTTAAAATAGAAATTAAATTACATACGATTCATGCACAATATGGATGTGCATTATTAATGAAGTAAATAAGTCTTTTGAAAGAAGTAAATATATTTTCAACATTATGACACAACACTTACTGTAAATTATAATAATTGAATTATTACAATTAATGTCATCATTTTAAAAATACATTAAAATTATATAAATATATAATAATATAAACAATTATTTTTTTTTTAAATGTATTAAATTTAACAATTTCATTATATGAATAAAATATATAAACAATTATTCAAACAAATTTAAAATGACTTTCAATTCATGTTGCATTGCTGTGCAGCATTAAATAAATAATCTTGATTTATTTTGATTAGTAGTGTCCCTTCAGTCACATAAGTATATTTGAGAAACATCTGAAATGGTGAAATACTGTTTGCATCTGTGAGAGTCTTCCGGTGCATTACACCATGTTTCCAGGGGATCCGTACACTACAACAAATTACACTAACCACATGCGTGCCTGCAATAAACATTACTAAACAAAACATTGCTTGTGGTTATCATTCACATGCACATGAAAATTAGCCTCAGCTGACAAAACAAATTTAGATAACAGCAGTTAACGCGCACACACACACAGTGGAGCAGCAGGGTGAGCAGAATCACAGCAGGTGGTATTTTTAGCTGTAACACTGGCTTACAGAGAAAGACGCACCAGGCAGCAAAAATCCTGCATCAGCTGAGCTCTACATTGCACATCTTCCGAATCAGACGACAAGCTGACAAGCACAAGTACAGGTCATATTCAACCACAAAATCTAACATGGTTTTATTAAAAACAATGACGCCTGTATTTGGACCAATACTATTTTATTTTATGTATTTATTTTTTTGCATTGTGACATTATATTCAGGCACATTTTCCTGGAAAATTTGAATGACAGTAATGCAAAATATATACACCCACACACACACATAATATATTATTTTGCATTATTACACACACCCACAGATAGATAGATAGATAGATAGATAGATAGATAGATAGATAGATAGATAGATAGATAGATAGCTCAATAAATCATTTTGAGTCGGAGTGTTTTTGGACTGCGTGTGCATGAGACAGAGGGAACACTGCCAGCCTGCAGACACCATAAAAGGAGGGATCGTCTTATTCCTTTGTTTTCGGAGAGCTCCAGCTAATAACTCTCTGTTTTAATGACTAGGTGTGTCTTAAACGCAGATTAAACCTGCGCCGGCTTATTGAACACTTCATATGAACTCTGATCAACCCTCATATCACACCGCTGAACTACAAATGATACTCCCTCCGCCCGCACACGTCCATTACCTGGATGGAAAACGAACATGCCTCCTCAAGCTTCATGTGTCAATTTTTGAGGAGTGTTAATAATGAAAGTGGCTGCTTCTGAAATGTTCATGAAAGGCCAGCTCACGGTTTCTATCGAGTATTTATGCTTGAAGCCTCACAGGAGCAGAAATGCTGTTGTATTGCGGTCATCTCTCTCTCTACTCTGCCCTACAATCTAGGTCATCAATAAGTTCATCATGAAAGATTAGCAGGTAAAATGATGAACTGGAAATAAGTATTCAGACGTCAGATCAGTGCAAGAACTCCCCCTGCTGTACAACAACAGTCAACACCCATCAACTGTGGACATTGAGTCAAATATACAGTATTAAAGGGATAGTTCATCCAAAAATGAAAATGTGATGTTTATCTGCTTACCCTCAGGGCATCCAAGATGTAGGTGACTTTGTTTCTTCAGTAGAACACAAACGGAGATTTTGAAGTCCAGCCGTTGCAGTCTATCAGTCGTATAATGCATGGCAATGGTAACAAAATCTATGAGAGTAAAAAAAACATGCACAGACAAATCCAAATTAAACCCTGCGGCTCGTGATGACACATTGATGTCCTAAGACACGAAACGATCGGTTTGTGCGAGAAACCGAACAGTATTTATACATCAAATTTTCATTTTTGGGTGAACTATCCCTTTAAGGCATCATCATTGAACTGCTAAATGAAGACCTTACCCAATTAAAGACATTTTACTGCAGTTATTTTCTGTAAAGTACTTTGAAAGTAGCATTTTGCGAGAAGTGCTATATAAATGAAATAAAATAAAATTATTTTATTAAATTATTATTTTTCTTCTGAGCTGAACTCTTTGCTCATTGCTCAGAGTATTTAACTGAATATTTATTTTAATATTTATATTATTATTTATTCATCCAATAATGAACAACTGAACTGCTACATGAAGAGCTTACAGAATTAAAGATTTTTACTGCAATTATATAATTAAAACCAATAGTTTGATGTCATTGGTCATATGAACTATTTTTATGATGACTTTATGTAATTTTTGTTTTTGTTTGGTCATTTGCAGCCTGTAAGATTTTTTTAATGTTTTGAAAGAAAACTCTTCTGCTCACCAAGGCTGCATTTATTTGATGAAAAATACAATAAAAACAGTAATGTTGTGAAATATTATTACGAATTAAAATAACTGTTTTCAATGTGAATATATTGTAAAATGTAATTTATTCCTGTGATGCAAAGCTGAATTTTCAGCATCATTACTCTAGTCTTCAGTGTCACATGATCCTTCAGAAATCATTCTAATATGCTGATTTGCTGCTTGAGAAAAATTGTGAATAGGAAGTTCAAAAGAACAGGATTTATTAAAATATTTTGTAACATTATAAATGTCTTTACTGTCATTTTTGATTAATTTAATGCATCCATGCTGAATAAAAGTATTAATTTCTTTTTTTCATTCTGTCACACAGAAGTATGTTTAAGTTGAGTTTTCTCACAGTGCTCTGGCTCCTGTCTCACCAGGTTAGAGTCTCAGATGACGTCAGACATTCAGAGAATCCTCCAGCTGCTGCAGAGACAGATGTGTTTGGGACCTCCGGCCTACAGCAGCCTCACAGCCGGTCCCGAGAACAAGAGAGCAGCCATCAGAGTGCAGCCCGTCGCTTCTGTTCCCACCAACCCACAGCACTGCACAGCACAGGTGCCTTACACAAACCTAAAGATGAGAAACATAGTTACAGTACATACTTGAGGTTTCCATGGAGTTTCTTGACTTATGAATAATTAATTTTTTGCTTTAACAAACATATTTCACTTCATCTGAAGTATGCATTTGAATAATTCAAATATTATAAAAATTCAAGCTAAATATTTTAGCATCTATATATAGCATAAGAAACTATAAAGAATTTGAAAAGTGCATATTTTACGTCCTGATTCTCTTAAGAGCACTGAGAACTGTTTACTGGCACATCCATATATGTGTTATATTCTGACGCTCAAATGAGATCACATGATCAGCTGTAGAGCGTCACCTACTTCAGACTTTCATTATTTTTCATACATTTAACATCAGCCTTGGGTAATCAGTCAAGGTCAGCCTAAAAATACAGTGGGTGTAAATGGGGAAATTTTTTTTTTACATGTTACTTGACATGTTAAGAAATGTTGAAATGAAATAAAATTATATATTTTTAAAAAAACTTCAACTCATTGTAATTCAGTTAGTTACCAAGGAAACATTTCTCATTTTCATTTAGTTTAGACATATTAAAGGGGTCATATGATGCTGCTAAAAAGAACATTATTTTGTGTATTTGGTGTAATGAAATGTGTTTATGCAGTTTAAGGTTCAAAAAACACATTATTTTACACATACTGTACATTATTGTTTCTCCTCTATGCCTCGCCTTTCTGAAACGCGTCGATTTTTACAAAGCTCATCGTTCTGAAAAGCGAGGTGTGCTCTGATTGGCCAGCTATCCAGTGCGTTGTGATTGGCTGAATTCCTCAAGCGTGTGACTGAAATGTTACGCCCCTTACCATACTGTTGATGCCATGTCCGGCCGGAGCGACAAGACAAAAACATGAAAACCCATTATAAACGAGGCATTCGTTGCATTCAGTGGGGACATAATTATGGATTATAATGACTTATACTGT